TTCTAAAAATCAACTTAAAAAAAACCTACCTCCGAACCCCCCCCCTTTTTCCCCACCACCGCGCCCCAAATTTCACCTCCCAGAACCCCCCGAAAGAGAGGAGCCAACCGGGCCCCAAAAATGACTGAAATAGCCCCAAAAAAATGACCGAAAAAGCTGAAAAATTCACCAAAATATCCCCGAATTAACCAAAATCGCTCAAAATTGAACCAAATCCCTAAAAACGCCACCAAAAAAAACCCCGCGGCTCCTTCCCCGGTGGTTTCTCTCCTCCCCCCTCCTCGAGCGCGATTCGGGTGGAAATGAAGGCGTTTTGGTTAAAAATGGGGTGGTTTTCCCCCCTGTTTTCACACCCTGCCGGGGTGGGGAAAGGGGCAGGATGATGAAATGTCCCAAAACGGGTGGGTTTTACCCCAATTTCCCTTCGGCAAAAGCTTCACGGTTGTGTCTTATCCAGAGGAAAAAAAAAAAAAAGAAAAAAAAGTGACACCAAAACGGCTTGTTTTCGTAATAAAAATGGATAAAAACGCAGTGGTGTGAAACGGAGGTCCTTTTGGGGTAAAAATGGGGGGTTTTGGGGTAAAAACCAGATATTTAGGTTCCTGGTTGTGGCTTCTCCGAGGGCTGATATTAGGGTTGTGCTGCCCTAATTTTGGGGGTGAATAAACCCCCTTTAGGTGCTTGGTTGTGGCTTCTCTGAGGGCTGATATTAGGGTTGTGCTGCCTTAATTTTTGGGGTGAATGAGGCCCATTTAGGTCCTTGGATGCAGCTTCTCTGAGGGCTGATATTGGGGTTGTGCTGCCCTAATTTTGGGGGTGAATAAACCCCCTTTAGGTGCTTGGTTGTGGCTTCTCTGAGGGCTGATATTAGGGTTGTGCTGCCCTGTTTTTTTGGGGGCTAAAAACTAGATATTTAGGTGCTTGGTTGTGGCTTCTCTGAGGGCTGATATTAGGGTTGTGCTGCCCTAATTTTTGGGGTGAATAAACCCCATTTAGGTGCTTGGTTGTGGCTTCTCTGAGGGCTGATATTAGGGTTGTGCTGCCCTGGTTTTTTGGGGCTAAAAACTAGATATTTAGGTGCTTGGTTGTGGCTTCTCTGAGGGCTGATATTAGGGTTGTGCTGCCCTAATTTTTGGGGTGAATAAACCCCATTTAGGTGCTTGGTTGTGGCTTCTCTGAGGGCTGATATTAGGGTTGTGCTGCCCTGGTTTTTTGGGGCTAAAAACTAGATATTTAGGTGCTTGGTTGTGGCTTCTCTGAGGGCTGATATTAGGGTTGTGCTGCCCTAATTTTTGGGGTGAATAAACCCCCTTTAGGTGCTTGGTTGTGGCTTCTCCGAGGGCTGATATTAGGGTTGTGCTGCCCTAATTTTTGGGGTGAATAAACCCCCTTTAGGTGCTTGGTTGTGGCTTCTCCGAGGGCTGATATTAGGGTTGTGCTGCCCTAATTTTTGGGGTGAATAAACCCCCTTTAGGTGCTTGGTTGTGGCTTCTCTGAGGGCCAATACTGAGGTTGTGCTACCCTGATTTTTTGTGGGTAAAATCTGCCCCGTTGGGGGCTTTTGCCACCCGTTTGCCCCGACTTGACTCCAGAATTAATTCCTTTGCAGATCTATTTTGCAGCTAAATCACCCGAATTAGGGCAAAGGCCGGAGCAGGAGAGCCAGGGCCCAGGCGTCGGGTAATAGATAGAGGAAATTAATCCTCGTTATCCTCCTTTGGTGGGGGGGGGGAGGGAGGTTTAGGGGGGGACCCCCAGATGCCTGGGTCCCCCTGGAGGTGTTGTGGGGACCCCAGGTGGCTTGGTCCCCCTGGGGGGGGTGTGGGGGCCCCCCCCAACACCCGG